TGTATACAATTTTAATAGATAAACTTCCTTCTCACAGTTGTACTTCAGCTCTCATATTGCAAAAAACCATTTTTAATCAAAAGATAAAGAATTGCTACCCAAACATGTCTTTTCCAAAAACAAAACGCTGCTCTCTAGTGGAAGATGATGATATGATCTGATTTCTTTAGAAGACTCATAGAATCATAGAATGGTTTGGGTTGGAAGGGACCTTAAAGATCATCTAGTTCCAACCCCCCTGCCATGGGCAGGGACACCTTCCACTAGACCAGGTTGCTCAAAGCCTCAGGAATGTTTTAAAATCTTATCAGTTACAGGAAACCTTAATTTTCACAAGCACTGACATAGAAGAGTGGTAGGGCTGGTTTGTTTTATTTCAGTCTTTCAGATTGTCCTGAGAGATTTTGGTATTTATTCTTCAAGATGAATTTGCTATGCATTTGTGTCAATAATGTATTCACATGCTAATAAACTACCAAGTATTTATGCATTAAAATATTACTACGTTTTCCAATTTGATCCCTTAGTTTTTCTATTCTTAAACAATATGAAAAACATAGGCCAATTTTCCTTACTTTGTTTTTTACACGTATTCAATTACTGACTTAATAATTAACTCCTGTCTGCAAGCACAGTGATACAAAACTGAAGAATTACCTGTTACCATAGTTCCTTCAGCTTATAATGAAACAATGACAAGTGGTCAGATATCAAGGAATATTTGTCCTGAGGGAAGCAAATTTTATCCTACTTGCAGTTAATTTATAAAGTACAGCATTAATTTGCTGCCCTTTTTTTTTTCTTTAAAGCAAAAAAAGGAATAGCCTTGCATATTGTGTTTCTTCAAATTATGGACCGAAACAGCACAGTTCTAGATTTATTCCCAGCTTCCCATATTCACATGAAACCTATGTAACACAGGCTCCATTTTTTTTTATCTTTCTGCAGATAGGAGAATTGTACTTTCCAGATAAACATATTAAGAAAGTACTTCATTACTTCATTTTTTATGAAGCTCCTTCAGAATAAAAATTGTTTCTCCACTTAGTGGTTTACTAATTATTTTTAGCTATAATTTTTGCCTACATACATCTTCACCTTAAGTACTATTCCCATCAAACACAAATATTATGGAGAGAGAACAGTAATTTGCCAAAGGATATAGGTTAAGCAGTCCCAGCTTCTGGTTTAGCGTAAACCTCATCAGTAAAAATTATAATCCTGTCAGGTCTGTATCTAGTCTTCTGTCAAAAGTACGTAAGCTATATGCATTGCAGAATGATTGTACAGGCTTGCAAAAGCCCCCCAGCTTACCTTCAACTGCTAGCAGCTGAAGCTGCACATCCCATCCCGATGGCCCTGCCTGGCTCCGAAGCAGATGGGCTGCAGCCCCTGGACACAGGGCTTGTCATTCCTGAATGTTCTTAGCTACATGTTGTCTTCCATACAGCTGTCACAGAAACGTCCACAGCACATACCAAACCCTCCTGCAACAGGAGTCTCATGAAATAGAGCTTTACATAGCTTCTCCATTTGATTTCTTCGTTGTCCTCTCCCCCTTCACTTACACTTCTGCTCACCTTCTGCTCTGTCCCCATCACTGGAAAGAATCTGTCCTCACTGCCGAGCTTGGCCGGTGCCTTGCTGTGACCAGTGCACTTCAGCAGCTACAGCAGCCTTCTACCCGTTGCCAGGCCTCCAGAGGTTTCCATCCGAGCTGTCACCCCTCCAGCTGGTCATTTTCTGTGTTCCAATCAGGTGGTTTTTTGCTTGTTTGGTTTTAGAGCAGAGAGAGACAAACAGAAACTCCCCCCATCTTCCTGCATCGACTGAAGCATTTTTCTATTTAATTATTCAGCTACTCCTATTGTTGGACAGAAAGAAAAGTGGAGATGGAAGGGTATTTTTTGACCCACTGCACAAAACCCAGACCTGCTAATCTCAACAGGCTACAAGTGAACAACATACCTGCTTTGCCATTTACCTGAGATCAAGCCAGAAAACTATTTGCACTTGTTAGTGCGTGTCACACACAGTAAGGTAGTATTCAGTAGACCTCAGTGAGGAAAAAAAACCAACATTATCAAGGATCAGTATGTAACTAATGACTTATCAAGGAGTCATAAGTCCTGACAATTAAGGAAAAGTTTACACTTGTTTGAAAACCACAGATGAATAGTATGAAGAAAATTAGAAATCAGGATGTGGATATTCATTATTAACCTCATGAATTTTGGTAGCCACTTGTTGCTTTCTTACAAATATGCCATCAGCAGTACCAATATGAATCGGCGTTCCCATCTCGGGCTGCCCACTTGCAGCTGGCTCTGCTCCTGCCTGCTGCAGCGCCGGCTGTGCAGTCCATACTTGAGATGCTTCAGCAACCCTGCCTTTCAGTGCCTCCGTTCTACAGGAGCTGGGCGGCCTTGAAAATTTTAAGGGTGATCAGATTTGTATGACAGTACCTAACTGTTCTCATAACCTAACAGCTACAGATTTTAGCATTAACTTCACAGGTGTTTGTACTGTAATAAGAACACAAACAATACGGAGACATCATAAATGAATGAGCAACGCTTTTCCGTGCCAAAACATGTTGGCTGTCTGGGATGTTCTGTTCTAGGGCTTCTACTGTTATCTAGTAACTTTTCAGAAACAAAATTATTTCTAGAAAATCTACATTTAATTCAGTATTTAATTTCAATTGGCACATTAATTAGAAAATAGAAGGCAATGTACAAAACTATTTACTTTTGAAAAATGAAACCTGTACTAAAGAAAATTAATAAATATGTAAATTTTAAGAGGCATCCCGAAGTTCCATTTCTTCAACCATTAAAACTGACCCTTAAAAAAGCCACTTATGTGTCAAGTCCAACAGCTAATTTGTTTCCTGACTGTACAGAACGCCCACACAGTAATTACTAATTCAAAGTGCTCTTCTAAACAGGCTGGTTTTGGCTGAAATACTTACGAAGCGCATAGCCTGCTTGGAGGGCAAGACATGCTGATATTTACTTTAGGCAAGGTAAGTTTTATATTATGTATTTGTTCAGGTTGTAAATACCTGAAATTTAAAAACTCAGCAATTCCTAACTGTTTTAACTAAGCAAATGAGGGAGATGGAGCTTAGGTCATCCATAAATTAATTATGCACAAATACAACAAATCAATAAACTAATACAATGTTTACAATTTCTTTATCTCTGCCTCTTTTAATTGTCATAAAGACAAACCCAACAGATTTAATTTACTGAACACTTTTAAGACAAACAAGAAAGTAAACCCACTATTTCAATAGCTGCATTTCATTATATTCACAAAAAAGAAACTGGTTTTCCATTCCAATACAAGCTCCACCCATTTACACCTTCAGAAGAACCTTTATTCACAGAAAAAACCAAGCATGTGCAGTAGAACTTCTCATGATAGAATGGCGTGCTTATCCGCAGGAACGGCTTATGGGTTCTCTCTCCACCTGGCCCCTACCTGCCTTATACTTACATCTTTAAAAGGAAAGAGAGCTAAACTTCCATAAGGACAAATCAGTATGCAGCAATCTCACTGAGATCAGAAAGAAAATTTTAATTTATTCTGAAATTTCTCTTGTTAAAAGGGTGATAGCAAAATATATATGGCTTGTAGAGCAGCTACTAAATGAGTTACATTCTCAATTTTTACCCTGCCGAAATTCAGGCAGAGGTATATCTTAGTATCATGCTGAAAATACAAAATAATTTGAGAATAGCTATGCTAAATTTTACATCAGGTCTTCTCTGCATGGAGGATGACTTAAGAAGTAAACACAGTGGCACCCTAAGACTTAAAACAACAGATGTACATTCTGTGCATGTAGCCTTACACTTCTGATTGCTACACGATGAAAAAACTGCAGGACAAACCCATTCATTTTCAGACGCTAGATTGTTCAGCAGCCTGCTTTTCCTTCATGAATGCACAACTTCAGCTTTTCACTCTCTGTTTTGTTTCTCTCCAACCCTGACCCATGTTAGGAGCACACTCAATATCCAAACACTCCTGACAAGAAAACACCAAGACACTTGGCCTCCACAGCACCAGAGTAAATTTAAACATGCTACACTAAAATAATTTAAACTCTGTATCAATTCTGACAACTTCTCTAGTGGGCTAAAGATTAAAATACTTTAAAATTATTTCACGGCAATGCATGAAAACAGTTCCCCTTTCTATCTCCACTTTATATATTAAAATTAGGCTGTTCAGATGATCCCGCTTAATTATGAAACTTTCCCAAAACTAAGACTGCTGTAAATTACAGATTCCAGCAGTGTAACAACTGCTATAGTATGAAAAGCTATTTATAACTTGCAATATTCTTCTAAGAACCGTCTCAGAACTGAATAACAACTTCCCAATCTGCAGCTTCTTGCAGGTATGTCTCAAAGCAGAACCCTGGGGAGGAAAACCACTGACTGGATAATAACATGGGGCAAGAGGAAAACAGTTAAAAAACCACAGGCAAGAGCAAATATTTCAAACACTTCCAACAGCACTCCTGAAGTTTAACTCGGCATGAATTAATCGGAGAGTCCCTTCTAGCTTTCTGGAGTCTCTGTCCTTAACAGCTACAGATTGACCTCTGCGACTCCTACTGAAAGGCCATTACCGAATGGCTTAACTCCGTGCAAGCTCACAGAACGCTGCAGTTCCTTTTAAAAACCAAAGCTGAATACACATCTGAGTTAGTAACAACTTCCTCCCATTAATATTAACACAAAGATCTAATTTTAGCACATGAAAATGAAAATTTTATCAACTGACATCCGCTTTAAATTTATGTCCGCTCTCTGGTGCAGAGAAGCCTCTCCTTTCAGGGTCTGTACTAATAACAATAGGTAGTAAACAATTGGGCAATTCTTTTGATTGTCCTTCACTTAACAATTCAGTCATTGAGAGACACAGAACTGATAATACACTTTATTTACATGATGTTTTCTTGCTATGTCTTGTTTTGATATCTTCTATTATGTCCAAAGGCTATGTAACAATGGGAATATGAAATTCATTATTATCAAATATCAGAGGCCTCCTAGGAGGGGTTGATTCTTTGTCTGCTTTGTGCAACAGTTTAAAAAGTCCTGTTCCAATGTTCATCGGAATTCCCATGATGATGCACTCAGAAACACCTAGGGGAGAAAAAAAAAACCAGAACATGTCGCACAGCTGAAGAGGAAGGATTTACAGAACTATTTTCATTTGCCCATTCTGTATTCATTTCCTGTCAAATCTCCTCGATCCTCATATGTAAAGACCAAGGTCTCTTCACCAGATCAAGTTAAGTGTTATGGCCATCAGATCAGTAAGTTATTTTATCTGTTATTTAAATTCTAGGCAGGACAAATTCAACCTAACCTTTTCTAGCTATGAAAGAGTAATGAGAAGACACATCCCACTCTGTGCTAACAGTAGAAGATGCAAGGCAAAGTTACCTTATACTCATCCTCTGAGTCAGTGCTAAGACTTCAGGCAAGTCTGGCCAAGTTCCCCTGGAACTCTTGCAACTTCGTAGTGAAAAAGGCATACTCACTACTGCAGCTCTACCAGGTTTCACATTTTCACTATTCAAAAGTGCTTGTTTCAAATCTAAAGACTTTAGTCTGTCCCAACTATTTCTGATAGCTGCAACATTTATCACAACAATGAGCTGACACAGTTCTATTCCAGATCTACTGATGCATAGAACTTGTATACATGTATAGACAACAAAGAATGTTCTGCATCAAAAGCAAGCTATCAGATTTTTTTCTCCTCTGTATTCTGCTGTGATCCAGATGACACCTTGCATATGCTCAGGAGTAGAAGAATCATGTCCTTCACATCACTATTTAAGAAAACATGCCCCCTTCCCTGGCTGTCTTCAAGGCCATGCTGAGTGAGGCTTTGAGCAACCTGGTCTAGTGCAAGGTGTCCCTGCCCATAGCAGGGGGGTTGGAACTAGATGGTCTTTAAGGTCCCTTCCAACCCAAACCATTCTATGATTCTATAAAAACAACACTTAATAGCTGTACCTTTGAATACACAAAGGATGAAAATCAATTTGCTTAAAATTCTGTCAAGATTTGATTGGCAATTTAATAGTGTATGAATGAAGATTCTGTATTTTGCTCTTAGGCCATTGCTGCATTTTAACCACATATTTTCCAACATTATGCACTTAAAAATCTTGTGCCAAGAAGAATTCTTAGGAGCCACTTACTGTATATTTAGAACCCTACAGCATGCACGTTACAATGGATACAGGAAATACCTTTCTAACACCTAGCAGAATAAAACTCAACTGGTTTTCCACAGTAACCTTTCAAGCTGAGCTAACTTGTGAGCCATGGAAACTGCATTTAGATTTCAGGAATCCTTCACTTGTAGTACTTTCATGAAGTACAACCAGAAGCCCTTCCTCCCCACCTCCTCTTTGCCTCAGGGACAAAGTAACCATGTCAGCATCTGACAGCACTCACGTATAGCAGGAAATGTTTGGACAGAACGTGCCACTGTAACAACCAAGTGTATGTTGTCTGTCTTCTCAGAGGAATGTATACTAGAGACCAGTGAGAATCCTATTGGACAGGTGAAGAGAATGATGCTGATGGCAGAACTACCAGGACAGCACACTCTGCTCTAATGACCATCCAAGACTCCTCCAGTGCCGTATCTTGTAATGCCACCACTAAGAATCTGTTGCATACGTAAGCATCTGGCTGACAGCTATGAACTGCTGCTCTCACTTTCAGCTGGAAGAAGCAAGGTAGAGATGAAGCCAGTAGTACTGCTCCTACTGCAAAGTTTATTTGTGACACTTCCCTTCCAGACCACTTCCTCATGAAGGATCATCACAGCAGTGGTCTGTAGCTGACAGTTCCCACTGTTCAGTTAGAAGGAGAGTGCTGCTGGCTACTCTTTGAGAAGGGGACAGAAATCTAAACTGACTACATCTCTCAGTGGCTTGCAGATAGTAGTGCTTCCCAGTGGATGCTCTGGAAGGGAGGTACTCTTCTGCTCTAGTTTCAATCCATTCTGCCCACTGAATGGTGGCATGAACAATTCTCAAAAGAAAAAGCTTCTCTTTATGTAAGTAAAGCAGGAATCAGCTGTTCCCCATTTTCTTGGGGAACGTCTTACAAGACAAAAAGGGATTCAAGGGCCACATGGTCTAAACTGCATCCACACATTCAGGAGAAGCACTGATTTGAGATGCCATTCAGTTTGGCACCTGTAGTTGATTTTGGGTAGATACAAGTTTTTCTTGGCAACGTTTGTAATTTTTTCCTGCTCTGGAGATGCATAACCATGAGTGCATACGAATCCCTCTTCAGAGCAATTCAGAGGTAACCAGTGACAGCCAGGTGAGGCAGCTGCACAGCACTTTTCATACAAGCAAGTGAGTATCATCCCTTCAGTTTTGGAAAACAGACCACAATTTTCTGTTTTGTCCATTCCATTTCAGTATTTGAATTAAAACATTTATATAGAAGGCAACATGAAAAGATCTTTGCTTTCCACATTGTTCCAAACAAGATTTTACCAGCTCAGAGGGGACTTTGAGAAAACACTTTTTTTCCTTACTGTCCAGAATGGAATCAGTCTACCACAGAGGCTGATTTCTGCTTTAATCATGGGCAAAAAATAATTTAAAAAACCCCAAAACTCCCACTCACATGTAATGTTGGACAGCCAGAAAGTGGCAGAGTTCTTAAAATACAAGGGTTTCTAACACTCTTCCAGCTATTCAGAAAATATACAATCCACAAAGCATGGTTTAAAACTGACTACACTTTCTAAGACCACCTAGATACACGTACAAGCTAGCAAACCTTAATATAATACGTTCCTATTGTTACACTTCTATAGCACCCAGAAACTCCAAGAGAGCAGTTGGAGCTGCAGGACTGTAGCCCTTACATAAATGGTTGATGAAGAGGGTGAAACCTTTGACTTCTCCTCTGTTTAAGCTCCTAGACAGAGACCTGTTAACCATTCATTCCAAAACATAAGTAGCTTAAAGAATAAAAAAATCTGTCAGGAATCAATGAGTTCAGTGAGAAGATGATTCAGTGGATGTTAATGAACTGAACTTCAAAACTGGCTAACAGATACAGTTTAAAAGAACTATCTCAGGACAGGGATCTCTGTTCTGCTAATGAATGGAGTACAGTTAAACAAGGCTTCTCATGTAAAAAAACCAAACAATTTTTATTTATTAAGATCAGAACTAACCAAAGAAGTTAAGAATTTTGCTTTTCTATTAATTTCTAGGTATAACAGAGAAATCACATAAGCAGTCATTATGCACAGCATGATCTTCACCTATGCTACCTGAGACATGGATGTCTTCCTGTAGGAAGACAACAAAATCTAAATATGAATGGGGTACTAGATTCCTTAATCAGCTCTAGGTGTTAAAGATACACAGCCTTCCACAACTGAAAAAAACAGAGCTACTGACAGGAGGACAAATTTCCTGGTATTTCCCAGAGCTATGTGGTGAGAAGTAAAACCAAATTACAAGTCCACATTAAGAAACATACAACAAATGTCCAACTGACTTCTAGATCGAGATTTTAAGTAGAGAAATATTGACAAAACTTCTAGGATCAAGAAGTATGGATTAGCCTCAGACCTCAAATTTTTGACACATAAACTGCACATAAAGCTCAACAAGGGCAAAAATCCAATCCTTAGAAGAGGTTTACAGATGCTACATAAGGACCAAACTGCTACAGAATTTGCAATACCTACCACAAACAGAATCCTTCTGTCCAAAGTAGGCAGCATCAAAGAGATGGTCCGCAGTCTTTTCAAAAGAAGCCAGCATCAACACACTTTCCTTCATTTTTGCCAGTCCAAACCTAGTAATCCCCAGCACTTCACCCTTGATGGATGAAAATCCCAAAGACAGACTATGACAACAGTGACTGGAGGTCAGTTATGTTTGCTAAGGAAGCAAATCAACTGAACCACAGAAATGTAGTTTTTTTTTCTAACAAATACATAAAACAAGTAGTAAGTACGAAGGTTGCTATATACAATACAGCATTGTCACAGTGTGCTGCTTCACAGTTAAGCATCCTGAAGGTTAATAGTTTGGTAGTAATCAATATTTAAAGAGAAGTGATTATTCATACACAACAGAAGCTCTTATAAACAGTTAATAGGTTTTTTTTTTTTTAAGCAAGAATATTGGAAAGATTGAAATAAACATGGCCATGAGAAACAACACACAGCTGTGAATTAGTCGCTGAGCTACAAACTTTAGTGGGGTCTGACAGCACTGTGCTTAAACTACTGCCTATTGTCTACTGGTAAATCTGACTTCAGCTGCCAGAAGATTACAGAAGATATTAAATCTTCAGTTTTTGACTCTCCAGAAAAAAGGTAATTAACTTTTGAAACTAACTTGGTTAATTTCTGGCTCTGTTTCTAACAAACATCCTGATTATAACACTATGCACAGAAGCACAAGTCAGAAGTACAGACAAAAGAATGCATGCTAGGAGCCCAGCAAGTGTGAAACACTGCACTGTGATACCCTTTTCCACTGTTGTTTTGCAGCTCCACACAGCCAGCCCTGGGGACTGCTGCAGTTCAGTACAAAGCTCTACAGCTTTGGGAGAACTCAGAACTCCTTCATCCAGTTCACCCAAGTTAAACCCGCACTCTGGCAGGCAAAGTGGAAAATCTTACTTCACTAAGAACACTCAAATCTTAAAAAACTGTTAGATGTGAAGGAAAGAAAGTCAATCAATAAAGAACAGATACGATGTTCTACTAACGAGTTCTGGAAGACTGCTTATACTCTACATGTAATCTGATGCTATTTGTAATGTCTGTATCCTTTGACTCTTTATACAGTGCAGCTGCTATGAACCACACCCCATGTGGTTTTCAGCACAGCAAGCCTTAAATTGCATGCATGGTTACCCAAACACTTGATTTTCATACCGCAATTCTTAGGACTCTGATTTCTAATATGAAATTATGATTCTCTACTCATGATACAGACTTGTTCTCAGTCAAAACAGACCTTCCCTCAACTCCCAAGAACTAGATTAATGACGCAATTTTTTTTAATATATAAACAACAGTATCTGGTCACTATAACTTGAAATTCTTGAAACTTATAACCAATTTCCATTTCCCTAGCTCTTCCATCCTTCTCAAACCTGGTAAAATTAATTTGTATAAACAGGTCAATGTAACATTTAGAAAAGGCATGGTACAAACCTTGTAAGTCATTAGATCAGACAGCAACATAACATGTCTCCTGTCGATGCTCATACCATGGTTCACCATTGTATACTGAATCTCATTGATAATGGTCGTCCGAGCAGCTTCGATTCCTAGCGTCTTCTCTACCTACACAAGAGACTGTTAGGTTAATGAAGAACCAAATGCTTGGAGCAACTATATGCTTGGAACAAATAACATCTGATGCCAGATAGTACTGGATTTCCATTACTAACTAACCTTTTTCATTTCTCCATTTTAAAAATATTTATAGAAAAAGCGGGATGTGAACAGTGCTGCCAGTTGAATTACTCTCTGGTGTTAATGCATTCTGACAGCTATTAGTGAAATCAGACTGGATTAACTATCAACTGCTGCATCTGAGCACGAACAAATTCTTGTAATAAAGATGCTATGGGGAAAAATCCACAGTGCCCATCTCAACATTACCTCGTAAGTGTTGTTTGAGGATGTTTTTGTTCCTTTCACTCCGTGAGTAGCCATAACAGCTCGCAGATTATCACCTTCGACTAGAAGTTTATATTTTTCTTTTCCACTTTGTTCATCAATATGAATGACAGCTCGGGAAACCTCTGGTATACCTTGCACTACAACCTTCACAAAACAAAAATCTTAGTAACTTGGATGTGTACAGTAGTGCAGTATAAAAGGGTAACCCCCTTACCAGCATTCAAACGTATTTAGAAGTCTTTGGAGTAAATGCTCAATTAAAATACATAGGAAATAATATTTCCTGCTCCTGAATGCACTAGTGCGAGTATGACATTCGCTCTGTACTATAAACCTTGCTAACCACCTACATTTTATGTTTTATGCCGTATCTCCTCACCCTCAGACCAGAGTCTCTGAAAGGTGGTAGATCCACACAACTGAAAGGACATCCTGCCAGCAGTAAGGGGCACTTGTTATTTTTATAAACAAAGTGGAAAGTTTCCTCACGTAAAGCTGCAACAGTGGCAGATACTGTCACATGGTTTAATTCTAGCTGCAGCTGAAGAAGGGGTAACTATTTCATGCAATTGCTGAACGCAGAAAGCTTTAGTAAATACTGTAAGGCAAGTATCGAGGCTTCAGTTTTATTTATAAAGATTAGTAATGGAGGCTTACTTTCAGCTGTAAAGCGGTAGCACTGCAATCGAAGAGTTATGGACTCAACTTATCTTCACTGTCAATGCTGACAAGAATTATTTTGCCTTCTCACCTCAGAACCCCAAATTACTGACTACCTCCTACAAAAGCACAAGACCGCCTTTGTTCTTACCTTCGGTAGTTCTTCCTTCAGGGACTGCAATACATAATACATTGAACTCTTGCTATTTTCACGAGGAGTCACACATACAACTGCTTCTCCATGGACAGCAACATCCCCAGGCTTTACTCTGAGTTTAGATATGCAAATAGAGTAGCGCACAGTCTCTGCATTCACCTGTGGCAAAAGTCAGCCAGCAAACATCAGGTTCTCTCTCTTCACATACACAAATCTGCTCAATTACATGCAGCAATCTTTCAACAGAACATAAAAGCGGAAAGTAGAAAAATAAACAAAATTGTTACTCTTATGAACTGTTTTAAATACTATCCCATGCTGAGGGTACTGGCCTGTATGTTAGCTAATGGACAGAAATGGCCTCCTTGTATTTAGAGCAAGACACTAAATAACAAATGTATGTTCTCTTATTTCCAAATAAAGCAAAAATTATCACCTTTACAAGGGGAAAAACAAAAGGGTGTGTGTGTGAAATCCAAATGTAAAGTAGCCACAGAACATTCTGCATTTGCTTTCTTGTTTTATCTTCCACTGGTCTAATTTCTGTTTCTGAGACAGGATCAAGAGACCTTTTGGAACTTATGCAAGGCATATTCTGCACAGCAACTGAAAAACTCACCTCTAATCTCAGGAGTCTAATGCGTTCTAGAGACAGCTTCACTAGGATGAAACAATCATCTGGAAGAAAAACTTCCTCAATATATTCTGAAATCTTTTAAGAGATAAGGACAAAAGAGTTAGCGGATGAAAATGGTTAAAACACCCCATAGCAATTAGCTAATGTTCACATTTAAAGTATGAGCATTAAAACAATTTTTTCCTACCTCTCCTAATAAAGTTTTCTCAATTCTTCCTTTAACCAGTCGGGCGAAATCAGGATCATCATCCTTGTCCAACTGTGCTGTTATAATAGGAGTGCTACAAAGAATAAACACACAAAAAGTCCAGTTAGGAATTTGCTCAGCTAGATTACAGATGGGATATTAATTGCAGCTTGCTTTACAGAATTTATAATCTAGAGTAGTATTTAATTAGAGACCTTCAGCTTCCTCAGGTACACTTAAGAAAATGATTGTTCATGTACTTCAGGCTGGTAAAAACATGCACACATGTAAGAGATTCTAACACAACCAGTGACTATTTTCGTGGCGTACACTATTACAGTATTATTTAAGTATGGCTTCATGGATACCTAGTGATAGATATGGTTCGACTACTGCTAAACACCAGCAAGTTTTGCAATGTATGTGACACCTACCAGAATATTAAACTTAGTAAATAACCACTTAACCTCATCTGATTTTCACAGAAAATGAAATGTGTCTCTTCTCTAGCCCTAAGTATCACTTAGTTGGAAAGACATTAGATGTTTCTTCTTTGGGTATTCCGTGGATTCAGTGCTGTCTAGTATATTACTGAGAATAGGGAAATGCTACTGCTTATTACAGATTTATCCATCAGGTTTCACTTAAGCAAAGGGAAAAGTCAAAACATTAGTACCTAATAGCCTTTGAAGCATTAATGATTTCTTTGATTCTTGGCACACCCAAGGTAATGTTCATTGAAGCAACGCCAGCAAAATGGAAAGTCTTCAGTGTCATCTGTGTGCCAGGCTCACCAATACTCTGTGCACAAAGAGCTCCTACTGCGGAACCAGGCTCCATCTGTGCCCTGATAGAGAAAGTCTCTCATTAAAAAAACAAAACACAAACCCCCCAAAAACCAGAAAGAGACACAGAACTCAAAGGCATAAACTCCTAAGCAAGCAAAGACATATTCTGGTAGATATAGAAGTTTGTTACATTTTTTATTTAAATAAACCAACAGAAGGTTTGAGGTTATAAGGTCACCAATACTCAAGACACTGGTCTTATGCAAGGCAATGCCCTGTCATACAGGTATTCCACAGAACGAGTATAACATCTATCACAAGAAAGAAAATGCTTGTCCTATTCCTCCTAAGCATCAGGCAGTAGATTCAGGATCCCCCATTCAGGGAAATCACGTACTCCAGCATTTCCAAAACTCCTCTTACATATCTGAGCAGGAGAGACCTTCATTATGTCTTCTTTAAGAAATTATTATGCAGATTACTTTTAAATCAGAATAAAATGCAGATGTTAACGTCACCTTCTTTTAATCTTATTCAAAAGCCCTATAATGATGACCCACCTTCCATGCAAGTTAGGGATGTAATGGGCTCATTGCCACATTTGCCCCTTTCTGGAGTTCACGTACTTGGAGAACTGGTTGTCCTTACAGGACAAACACCGAAGACCACTACACTATGAGAACTCAAAATCAGATGTGAGGAGTGGTTTATTCTCCCCTACCATTCTGCAGTTAGCTTTCTTCAGCTTGCAGAGTGCAATGTGATCTGCTTTTCTACGCACAAACAACCTCTGAGTTCAAGGCACAATTCCACCTCCTAAATCAATCTAATGCTTATTGCATTTTCCTTGATGAGCTCTTACCAAGTAAAAACGCTCCTTAATAGTGATTTAGTTTGCAACATCTGAAGGAATTAATTCTGACAACAAAACAAAATTATTTAAGTAGAGGTTACTGTCTTCACTATTATTTGGACATTTCTTTATATTCATGTCATATCTACCCAAAAATTGCTGAAATCCCAGCTGAGAGATTTCTCCTGGTAAAATGACAAAAGTCTATAAAACAAAACCAATTATCAGAGCCAATAGATCCTTTCTAAGGGTATCAGCTTTCAGGGCAGCATAATAAAGTATGCTAAAATAATCTACTACCATAAAATAGGCAATTCATGTTTAAGAACACTTAAGACAAATGTAAGCAAGTAATCCTACTAACTGAAAGCAGAAAGCTGCTTTAAAATACTTCTGTTAAGAATTTAACGTACACATGAATTTTCTAGAAAAAGATAAAGCATTAGTAAACAAAGTATGCAGGTGAGCACGTGGCCACAAAGCATGTTGCCAATTGCTGATGCCAATAAACAAATTCACACAATTTCAGTAAATGAAACAGCTCTCAGTGGACTGTAAGAGATGAGAACATCCACACTGTGTTGTTACAGACCAAGAATAGCAAACAAAAGGCACAACAGATTCAAGAACATGTTAGCACAAAGTGTGACATAACTCTTCACAGAGTGTGTGGATCAGGAATAACCATCAAGATCGGAATAATCTCCTGCAGGAGGCAAAGGAAACATGTCTGTCTTTACAAGCCCACCTGTAGATGGCAATGCCTTTTGGTGTTGGTTTTTTTTGGTTTTTTCTTTTTTGCATTCTACCTTTGTCTTGCAATGTTTATATCATTGGGGCCAACTGTTTCTTATCCTTTATTTGCACTGCATTCACAACAGAACCAATATTCATTCAGCAAAAAAAGCAAAATACACTCCTAGGTTGCAAACAAAGCAACGGGAGGATAAATTGAGAGAAAACTAGCAGGACACAAGGCTAAACACTTACCTCATGTATTTGTCCCTACAAGTCTCTAGAAACTTCTCTAGTTGTGTTGGAGTAATCCTATCCAACTGATATAAAACTCGTGGCTGAAAATAGAATAGAACAGTTGGAAAAGCAATAGCTTATGAAGATTTACAATAACTACACAATTACCCTCTTGCAACGACTTACCTCTGTTGTGCCATTGTCATTGATGCCATACTTGTCCCTAGTTTTTTTAATCTTCTCAGAAACACCCTTGATGAATTTCTTAATTTCCTGAAATTACATTAAAATAACAGTAAGCACAGACATGGCCTTCAGAGTGAAGTGTTCAGCATTAAGTTATCTGCCTGGATCTCCAAATGGAACTTTTAAAATAATAAATTAACAACACACAGTATGAAAAGGAACATGAAAACTTAGACACACACATAGAATAGAATTTAGCAAACCAGATTTGCTGTTGTCTAACCACAAATTAGTAGTAGTACATGAGGAATATGGTCCACGCTGAATGAAAGCATCCTTCCTGAGCACACACCGAATACTTAGGGAGATTAGACTTTGAGTGATACTCCCTACCTACCACTTACTGTACTGTACCTGAGTCTACCATCAAAAAATAATTAAGAAAAACTTCCTCCAAATTTGTATTTTCTCTGTATATTGACACAAACACATTCTCACTCATTTCTCAGTATTCAAAATAAGTGAAAGTGGAAAGACTGCGGCAGGAGAGAAAGCATATAAAGGACAGCTGCTGGATAGATTTCAGGGATTCCAGGCATACTTTATCTGGGGGGAAAAAACCCTCCACATTTGATATATACACATCAGTGTCTACCCATCATATTTCAAACAAGTTCGCTGTGCTGCAGAGAGGTCTTGCAGATAATTGCATTTAACATGTCATATTACCTAAGCCTTTCACCCTCTTAAGAGGTTCACCCAAAAGCAGTTCTAGCAATCTTTACTGGAAGATAAATAATAGAGTTCTTATAAACCCCCTTTAGTCCTGCCTGACAACGAGAATGACAGTTTTATAACATCACCTCTTCCTCATTCAGTACTGGACTCCTTCCAATGACTACAGTAGCTAGGCACTGAAAACTAACCACACCTGAACTCATAAATCATTATCAAAATACTTCTATTACATCTTAACAGAATCCTCAGATTCTCAAAATAACAGTTTTACTGGTACTCAAGATATTTTCAGACAGTCTATTATTTTCTGTGAATACTAGAACAAAGTTCAAATGAAAGAACCAACAACAGAGGTGTGCTGCTGGAACAGATGCTTCAGGTTGTTTCCCCACTTGGATGACAACAGTGTGCATGCATACATTTCTGCCCCTTCTGTCCTGCAGTAAGGCATATTAATTCATCAATAAAGTATTCTGCCATTTTAAAACTTTTATGACCCTGAAATCTTTGCATAAAATAGATAAATTATTTCCTAAATTGTGTTAAGTAATAAGGTGGAAATAGAAAAATTTCTCTTTTTACTACAAGTGCATAAAAAACCACGACTATAGCAGGACTTGCAGAAGATCAACCAAACCACTTGATCTACAGAAAAAAAAAGACATTAAGAAGAGACTTTTACAGTAATTCTACCTTAAAAGATACTTTTTTTTATGGAGGGGCAGAAAGGGAAAAGTGGAAAGGGAAGAAGGCAGAAAGTGTAATACTAGCTTCTCCCTCCAGAACACTTAAGACTAAGTTCCAATTTTCACATACTCACATAAAACCAGGAGCAGTCACAATAACCACATCACCTCCTCAAAAGGGGATGTCATACTGGCTGAAGATTTAGTTATGTGGTCATATGGAGAAAGGGCAGACTTACGACCAAAACAGCACAGGACTAAAAATAGCATTATAGCAAACTATTTATTGCCAGCTTTTCCTCTTTGACAGTCCCTGAGTACCAAATTACTTTGAATTACGCTGGAGGGAAGGGATGCCATC